CGGCAACGCACTCGCGAGCCCTCTGGCATTGAGAGTGTCCATGGGCGGCGGTGTCACTTAACATCAGGTGAGCCTCCTGCCCGTTTGCCCCCGTTCTATTAAAAAAAAAAAAAAAAAGATTATCATAAGAGAGGTATACAGAGTCAATCTTAAAGTATGCAACTGCTGTCGGAAACTTTTAAACACCACCATATGATCTTAGCGTAATTTAACTGTTTACGCAGCACACGCAACGCACCGTAGTTAAGAACTTCTTGTAGTTGAGGTCTTAAGAATATTACAGTTCGAAAATATTGTTTCTAAGATTTGCGCATTGATAAAATAAAAATACCTTAGACTTCCGAATACACGAGTGCCATAACGGCCTTTTGGTTTTAGTAGTCATCTATTTCAGGCTTCAGCCCTTATTTGGGCCCCCTAAAATTTCCAGTTCCACAATTATTGTTGTTCTATTCTTTTTCAACCAGTTCAGTAACCGGGGTCTGTCATTTACATGTATTCATTTCATACAACATAATTAAACCCTGATCCACTGACCTACTTATAAAAACCGCAAATGCGGATTCTGTTAGTGAAAAACTTTAAGGTTGAATTTTCAAATGAGTGAAAGTATGCCACCATACATTGCCGGTTTTAGTTGTAATATTTTTCCTTATTTTTAAATTATTGTAGGTAATTTTGCACTTCGTTTATTTTAGGTTAAGTTTTTATTCGGAAAAGCGAACAGTTTCTACGGGGTAGGATAGCAAAATGGTCCATATGTTGATATGTAGCTACTAAAACGGTAGGCTAAGTAAATAAATCATATTAAGGCGAAATTTTGAAAATCCAATTGATCTATATAATAATTAGATAACGTCTAAGTACCATAGATATTTACATAATTATCTTTTATCGATAGAAGATTGAAAGGTTATTTTATTATTTTATTTTATAAGCGGTAAAATCCCGATATATTGTTTCAACGATCACGAAAAAACCTGTATCGTTCTATATCTTGTAGGTTATAATATTATATAAGAAATAAAATAAGGTTAACAACCTACATTGCAACTTGTTTGACCCTAATTTTTATGATAAGGCGGTATACGATTATTTTTATAATACCTTTGTGTGAAGGTTTTTCAATATACGTATTGATTTTAAATATATTCAAATCGATCAAATTTATTGGCGCTTATGTCGATATGGTATTAGGAGTTATTAAAAAATAAAATAAAAATAAAAATATGTTTATTATGGAACATAAGATACATGTATCACTTATTCCACGTCATTAAATTTGAAGGCATCCCTACTCATCGGCAAAGAAGACAGAGGGTGTAGGCCAAGAGAAAAAGCCGGCGTAAAAAACTCTCGGTACTCTTTTAAAACAGCAAATCATCAAACAACACTTATTTAAAACAAATATCGCAAATTAATTAGAAGTAACCTGTCTAGCACTAGTCCCAGGCCCTTTTATCAACTAGATAATCGTTGACTTTATAGTAAGCCTTTTTACACAGCTTTTCTTTAATACATTTCTTAAATTTATTGAACGGCAGTGATAAAAGAGCCTCTGGGATTTTATTAAAGAAGAGTATCCCTTTCCCCAAAAAAGAATTACTAACTTTAGATAGTCTAGTACGGGGAAATTGCAGCCTGCGTTTGTTCCGTGTATTAACATTGTGCGTATGTTCTATTCTAGTAAACTTATCACTATTTTTGTATACATACATAATATTTTCATAAATATATTGCGAGGGAAAGGTAAGTATATTAATTTCCTTGAATTTATCTCTAAGAGATTCCCTACATATTAAATTATAGATTGCACGAATAGCCCTCTTCTGCAGGATGAAAATAGTTTCGACATCAGCAGCATGACCCCATAATAATAAGCCATAAGTCATTAAGCTATGAAAGTAACTAAAATAAACAAGTCTAGCTGTATCGACATCAGTTAGTGAACGAATTTTTTTAACCGCGTAGGCTGCAGAACTAAGTCTCTTCGCCAATCCGTTAATATGAGGGGACCACTGAAGTTTTGAATCCATGGTGATTCCGAGAAATACAGTTGTATCATCCAGATTCAATTCCTCACCGTTTATAATTGGTCTAGTATCCATAACCCTTGCATTTTTTGCACAAAATTTAATGCATTTTGTCTTTTTTGCATTAAGTAGAAGGTTATTCATACTAAACCAATGGACAATCGAAGACAGAGCATTGTTCACATCGTCAAAATTTGTTATTTGTCGTTTGATTTTAAAAATCAAGGACGTGTCATCAGCAAACAAAACTATCTGATGTTTTCTCTCTACCATGAAAGGTAGATCATTTATATAAACAAGAAAGAGGAAAGGGCCAAGAATTGAGCCCTGTGGTACCCCATATCTACTGCCGACTCAGAGGACCTCTTACCATTCACTTCAACCTTCTGAGTTCTTCCGTGTAAATAGGAAGTCAGAAGATTCAGTGCGGTATTCTTGATGCCATAGTGGCGGAGTTTCCCGATTAAGGTCTCGTGTTGGACACAATCAAATGCTTTGGATAAGTCGCAGAAAACACCTAAAGCGTCATGCGACTCCTCCCAAGCCTTAACTATATATCTATATAACTCAACACCGGCATCGGCTGTCGAGCGACCCTTGGTAAAACCGAACGGATTATTATGTAATAATTTGTTTACGTTAAAAATTAAAATGACTTACCAGTTGATTTAATATAATTTTTTCAAATATTTTACTACAAGTAGGTAGTACGGAAATTGGTCTAAAGTTACTGGGGTCGGACATACTACCTGATTTAAATAATGGAATAACTTTACTATGTTTCATTAGATCGGGAAACTCGCCACTTTTAATACAATTGTTGAAAATTATAGCTAGATGGGGAGCAATTACATCAATTATGCTACTAATTATTTTTACAGAAATACCCCAAAGATCGGTAGTGTTCTTAATATCTATGGTTCTAAATATCCTCACTATATCGTCGGCACCAATGGGTCGGAATGTAAAACTGACCTTGCACTCGTTTACATTATATTTGAGCAGCGATTCAGCGAGGGCGGGAGATGATTGAAGAGACTTAGTAGTCGAAATTGGAATGTCAGAAAAGTACTTATCAAAAACAATCGCTATCTCTTCGTTAGATTTGATTATAGTGTTATCGACACATAGTTCGATGTCTTGATTGCGATCCCTGACTCTTCCAGTTTCACTATCAATTATCTTCCATTAGCGATTTAGACTTTATAATAATGAATAATTTCTAACCGCGACATATATATGACCTTAGAAACTCACAAACATAGCCAAAACCTGTATATTGTTACTCTTAAAGACGCAAATAAATTGTTGGGCTTTTAATTGCGAATTGCGTAATGAAAGTAAAAGTGGTTATGGTGGTCTGTTTTTGCAGATCATTTAAACCAAAAAGTTAACATTAGTATTTTTGTTTTTTTTATTTTTAGGACCCCTACATAGTAGCCTATCAGACACGCGATCAGGCAGATCTGTGGCCGAGAAGATAGGCACCAGGGGAGTGCTATCACCCCTTTACTAAAAACGGACTTATTTGCTTAAACTGAGGTCTGGTAGGCTTGGCGTCTCCCGCCAGGCGACATCTACTCCGGAAAATATATCCTCATGATATTTATCTAGTCGGAGCCCGCTCCACGGCGGTACCCGAGTTACTCTTATTTTAGTTTATTAGTTTCAATTCAGCAATGGTTCACCATACATTATTACTATCAATATTGTATTTATTTTAATTCGATAAACTAGATATTTTTTTATTGCTTCGGGCTAAAATTCTCCCATCTTTAGTTTTAGTGTAATTAATTTACCTACAGGTTGGGGAATAACATATTAATGCGAAAATAATTACAATCTTAATATTTATTATAATCTTGAATATTAAACAAACGTACATATATTACACTTGTATTCTAATACGCAAAATATTGAATAGGGAAATTCATTCTAATAAAAAAAAAACAAGAAACACGAAACATTAACTTAAGAAGTGCTAGTTACTTGGTGACCCGCCCTCCTAGAACTAACTATGGAAAAAGAAGTTTCGAGTTTGAGGGTGTTACAATTTATAATAAGTTACCATCAGTTATAAAAGGAGAACAAAGTTATGCCCGATTTAAAAAGCTTCTAAAAACTTACACATTAATTACATACAAATAAGTAATTAAAATTTAATATGTATATATATTGACAAAAATAAAATAACACACCCTTGTTAAGTACATCCACATAAAATTAAGTATACACCTCTAAATTTAAATTATACATTAGTAAGTAATTAAATTAAACAAAAACAAATAAAAAATAATACTTAAAATGTTTAATGTTTAAAAAACTTTAAACTAACACTACTCACGGTGTTAAAGAATTGTATCTAAGTGTTGCTTTTATTAATTTATTTTGTAGTGTTCGTATCTTAGAAATTTTGTTTTTGGATGCTGTGCGCCATATTTCAGTTAGGTATAAGAAGTGTGGCTTGACTAAACAATTGTGGATCAGATGACGTACAGATTGCGGAATGCTTTTTGATATTGACCAAAATCTGCCTATAAGTGATTTTAGTGTGTAAAAAAGTCTTATAAACCATGTATATACCCTAAATATATAAATATAACAATAAAGTAAAAATAAAATAGTGTTATGAAAAATTATAAAATAATCAATATAAACTTGCTATATCAGACTATGCCATCAATGCCACATTTAGTAAAAACGCAAATTCGAACAACTGTGTTTTGCTTGGTTGACTGATCAAGTTTATTATGTCTACCCACATTTTTGGTGCTGTTTTGTTTTGTTATTTTATATATGTACCTACATCTGTGCGCTCAAATTTCTAATTTTTAATCTTAGTTATAAATATTGTTTCTCAGTAAGTGAATTACTTAGCGCGCGCGCTTATAAATGCGGCGCGCGTTCCTAATTCAAATCATACGCTCACAAACACTCGTGCTTGTAAGACGCTTAAAATAATTAAATATGAAAACAGTTGTCGGTAACAATAAGAAAGTGACCATGCAGGACAATGTTGACCGGCTGAAAGTGGTCGGGAATAATTGTATAATTCGCATACAAATTAACCAAGGTGATGTTAAAGTTATTGGCAATTATTGCCGAGTGAAAATCAAGGAAAATTATGGAAATGTCAAGATAGTCGGCAGTGGATGTACAATTACAATTGAGAGGCGCTCAAAAGGTGATAATGTTTCTATTGTGGGACAGAATTGTCATCTTTTGGTGGACGGTAAACAGGACCTGGATGACGTCATCGAGCCAGTCTTTATATTCGTGATGCGATTAAGATGAAGAGACTAAAATGTGTCCCAAATTTTCGTGAACGTGTTTAGTTCAGTGAATGTACCTGCTTCGTGGACTTAAGGAGGTTGATCACCTCGTGCCAAGTTTTTTTGTGATCGTTTTGTGATTAACATGCCTTCGTATCCAATAAAAATCTCAGCGAAGATATTCTAAATATTAAACAAATTAATTTAAGAGAAAAGATCTGTGTTTTTAATAAATGTGGTTTATTGTATATGTGTTTATTTTTGACACTCATTTTTAAAGTACGAGATAATAGTTTATTTGAAAGTTCGATAAGATTATTGAATAACATTTGATTATGTTTTTAACAGCATCCGGTATTGCCGTTTTGATAAGATGATATTCACAATTATTACTAGTAAACATGTTTCGATAGACTTACATCAGAATTAAAACAGAAATGATTTGATTAGTCAATATAGTTCTTAATTCCTTTTTAAGAACTAGGCTACGCATGACATTGATTGCTAAGGTTTTATAGAACAAATCTTCAATATATTTAAAGGATCAGGCCGGGAACATACGAAATAATCGTTAACAATAGAAAAAATTACAACTAACGACTTTTGAACAAAGATTAGGACATTAGGTTCAAACGAGAATAAGTCCAAACGGAGCTCGATGGTTTTAATGAAAAAAAATGAACACTGATTTAAACAACCCTATTATTAATTTACTGTAAAGTTTTACACGCAGGTATGTGTTTAGTATGAAATAACACAATTATCATGGTACAAAAAAGTAGCGGCTCGAAACTCTAGCGCTGACCGTTATGGCGCAGAAGTAAAAAATAAGGTACCTGAGGGGGGCTAGCGGAATGAAGAGCGTCGATTGGCTCTCCCGTCGCATTCCGTCCCCCGCACCGATACGACACATGCGCAGCAATCTCCTCGCTAAGCTAGACTTACGTGCCGCTGCCAATACCAATACTGTTATACTGTAGTGCCAATTATTTGGACGATGAGTGGATTAAGACATAACGTGACTGATGTCAATTTAGTCACCCCTATCGTTAACACATTGTGTAATTATAGCAAACATAACTGTAATTACTTTTTGAAGTTATACTTCTTTAGGCGCGTTATGAAAAATTTATGAGAGTGAAATTTTACAATGCGCGCGCACCCGTGACACAAAATTAGGAGTGTGATTATAGCGTGCGCGAGCGAGATAGGAATAAGACAATCTACAAGTAAAAAGAAATAGAATATGCGTGAAGTTCGTATGCCAACAATTTTGAATGACCATAATGACATTTGTCATTTACCTTTTAAACAAATAAAGGAGTTTTAATTATTTTTTCAAAGAAATTTAGCGATGCTTTTTGAATTATAATCAGAAGTGATTTAAATTAAATATTTAAACCAATATTAATTAATATTTGTGAAAAAACTGTGCTCATCAACCTTCCTAAGTGCTTCAATACAATTGAGGTTAACTATCCGTATGTATTATTATTATTATCGAGTAATGTTTTGATTAAAAAATTAACCACATTGTTTAATCAAAACATGTAATTTTTCTGATTTTATCTAGCAAATATAAGGAAAAGAGACAAAAAACAATTGATGAATCAGTGTAACTGCACTAAATTGAATACAAAAAAAGAGTTTTCATCTTATCGCTGTGAAACATCAAAAACTGGAGGTGGAACAAAGCCAAACTATTTTTAATATTGCCAAAGAAGTATAACTTCTTACGCGCGTACATAAGTACACGGACCCTTTTTTTTAACACGCTTTTATTAGCTTCACCTGTATGTATGTATGTAACCGACTCCTTCGGACTCGATTTTGACCCACTTTAAACGGACAGATTTAATTCAAACTTTGTACACTTATAAAAAATCAGCGACAATAAAATAATTTCATAGGTTTATCTCATTATTTATACACGCTTTATATTAGCTTCACCTGTATGTATGTAACCGACCCCTTTGAGCTCGATTTTGTCCTACTTTGAACGATCAGATTTAATTCAAACTTTGCGCACCTGTCAAAGATCGATGACAATGCAATAATCCGAAAAAAAAGTAACTAATAAATAAAAAATGAATAATAGTTTAAAAAAACTAGAACACACGCTTTATATAGAAAACTAAACTAAAAAACAGAAAATAAATTTTAATAAATATTAATTAAGAATAATGTAAAATTGTTTAATAAATATAAGTTATTTATTTATTTCGTAATCCTACAGCTAATATAAATTATATATAATAACAAACAGTTACACTGAAAATATAGCCAGATATGGAATACATTATACATTTAAATACAAAAAGGTTCAAAAATTTACAAAAGGTAACAAAGAATAAAAATTATTCAATAGGTACATTAAGTGGTAGTACCTAATTTGGCTGTGTTGTATGATGGTGTAAAAGTGAGGGTATGTACGTGAAGGTGTGTATGTGGGGTATGTTCATGATGTAAGTGATTTTGCGCTATGGATATTTTTAATACTTCTTTTAAGCATATTCCGCGATAGCTTAAACAAGTCAAGGCTTAAATATTGGTCGTTGTATGTCCGGGCTGCGCGATACAAGACTGAGTTTTTAGCATAATTAGTGTTAATGTGAGGAACATGCAGGGCCTGATTAACCCTTAGGCTAATTAGGCTGCAGCCTAGGGCGCGACGATCTAGGGGGGCGCGGGCGCCCTGAAGTCATATCTTCGCTAGTATCATTCCCTGCATATTTCAACTAGACCAACTAGACAACACTAAATGAACTGTGAACTGGGTCTACAAGCAGATGGCAAATTTTAGTATCTAAATAAGATGAAGAATAGATGGTACTTAAAATCTGTTGTTGTGCCTTTGGAACCCTGTGCTCGTAAAGTTTCTAATCGTTAGTACACAGCTACAAGCAAGTTCTGTTGATTTATCTGACTTTGTTACTCTTTATGAGACATTGCTTATCTTAATACGTTGCGTGACGAAAAAGAGTTAAAATTTTTGAATCAGAGCAATCAAGATATGCGAAGTGACCACATACAAAAAAGATGTAAGAAGAAGAATGAAACCAAAATTTTTGAGTTAGAAGGGAGGCGATCTTTTATCGTTTATAAATATTATGAGCTATTGATTGCCTTAAACACAACTTTGGTTTCTTATGGTAACTGTATGAACTAGACGATAGTGATTTATAAGAAGCAAAGCAAGGAGGAGTAAAAACAACGAATTCCATGATTTAGGAGAAACCTTTGAGAAGAATGCGTCCATTTGGCACAGTTTTTAAAACCTGACAAGAGGCCGAGCATTATATTTCTGCCAGAACCCCAAAGGTTTGTTGCAGTTAATAATAAGTTTTAATATTTGATGATTTCGAATTGAGATAATATTTTTTGGACAATGAGTGTTACCAACTGCAGCGGCGAAAGGTCTTTTACAGCACTTAAAAGAGTAAAGAATACTTGCGCTCCACACTCCGCCAGCAAAAACTTGCAGCGCTCTCGCTAATGTACACAGAATGTGATTTTTAAAGACTATTAAATTTGGAAAAATTGTGGAAAAATTTGCTAACGTTAAAGCAAGAAAACGGCCTTTTGTATAAGCTAATAATAAGTAGGTACTTAATTTTTTTAACAGTTGACAAAATGTTTCACTTGTTTGATTGCTCTTGTCTTTTTTAAAGATAACAACAGAAGTGTAAATATTTTAAGAATAACTTAAAGTCGTAGCAACATCACACACTAGGTGACCACGTCTATGGTTAATACGCAACAACTAAGTAGTCCATAGAAACTAAGCCAATAGAAGTAATGCAGCCAAATACGACATGATTTGGTTTTTACTTGGTACCTGTCATCATTTTGTGTATAATGAGGGAGGTGTTTGCCTTTGTTAGGTAGCTAAAAATGGTTACAAGTCGGCTGCAAATTAAAAGACAGCGTTCGTTTCACTTGCAGATCGATCTGTAAACTCTTATACATAGTAAAATTTTCACACTAGTAAACAAAGTCAAAACTAATATACTACTTTTTAGACTGACTGTAGGTACACACCTGTCACCTGGCGGGGGCGCATCCTGATAAATAGCCTAGAGCGGTGAACTTTGATTTCTGGGAACATGAAACAAAGCACGATTACGAGTCTGGTAGGAGCAAGGAAGGGCAATTTTTCTTGAAGGGAGCTGCAATTAATTTTATTTGAGATGATGTCGTGGAGTAGCATTAAATCATATTATTGTTTTCGTCGAGAGTGTAAAGTATTAATTTTAAAATGTTCACACGCCTCTTTATATGTATTAAACTTATTATAGGTCTTGTAGGAGATAAATTTTATAAAGTCTTTTTGGATCTTCTCAATTTTTTCTTTGTGCACAGTGTAATTAGGTGACCAAACCGAGCAACCATATTCGAGAATACTTCTTACGTATGTATAGTATAGCACTTTCATACAGTCGACATCATGAAAATATTCACTGACACGTCTTACAAAACCAAGCTGCTTATAGGCTTTGTCAACTATTGTATTAATATGGTTATTGTGCGTCATTTTATAGTCTAGCGTTATACCTAAGTCACGAACACAATCTACTTCTTTAACGGATTTGTTATTGATATTATAACTAAAGCTAATTTTGTTTTTTTCCTGGTGAATGTTATTTTAACACATTTTGAAGCATTAACCGATATTCGATTTTGTCTATAATAATTACAAACGTTATTCAAGTCAGCCTGGATTTTGTGACAGTCGCCTTCTTTGTTTATTGTTAAGTATATCTTTTTATCATCAGCGAACATAAGGTTATTAGAATCTTTAATGCTACTATTAATGTCATAAAGATATGCATTGTATAACAGGGGACCCAATATAGATCCCTGAGGAACTCCAGAACTTATATGAACAAAGTCACTTCTAGCACTGCCAACCGCAACTGCCTGTCTACGATTTGTTATATATGAACAAAACCACCGATGAAGGTCACCACGTATCCCTAGGAGTTGGAGCTTATGTAAGAGGATGGTGTGATCCACCCTATC